TGCATGTCTTCTAGGTGCTTTTCCTCAACAATTTCTTATTTCATTGCATTTGACCTAAGAATGGGTCTGAACTGTTTTGGTTTTCAGAATTTATTAAGTTGTCCATGGCCTAATAGTTGATTTTCAAAAAGTGCTTTTAAGTAGGTTTATTTTGTTTTTAGTCTATCTTTCTTTTTTAAATCACGTTATTCAGATTCTGTTTATCCATATTTGTTTTGCCTATTTATAATCTACCATAGTCTGAAATGGATGAGTTAAAGCCTCTTAATATTATTCTGTTTCTCCTTACATTTCCTGTAGTTTTATATATTCAATAATATGATACTATATCGTACAGTGAATAAAGACATATGCCTCTTCTAATCTCATAGTGAAATTTAACATTTTCAATTGCAAAGCCCTCCCGTTTACAGATGAGGAAACTGAGGCTAAGAATAGCGTGGTAATTTGCCTCGTGTTTCATAGTAAGAACTAGGTCTGGAAGTCCGACTCAGGCCAATTTGAAACTTCAAACATTAATAAAGACCAACACGCACGCACGCACGCATGCACGCACGTGCATGCGTCAGGCAGCACGTGTGAAAAGAAAACACCTGAAATAATTTCCATCATTATTCTTGAGCTGGCAAAAAATAATTCCAAATGAGTCATGAATAGAGGCTGAGTTGTGCTAGAAGCTTCCATGAAGAGTACCCGAAACCGCTTAGATTTATCTGACATCCTAATCGCTGAGCAACGGATGCTCCTTTTCTATGTGTGTTGTTTAGGGTGTGACACTGGGAATGTGTGTCCTGCATCCCACACAGTAACCCCAGGACACGAGGTCCTTCCATGTAACAATACCTGGATCTCTGTGTAAAGAATGTAATTATTAGTTCTGAAATAAATTACCTTTGTCTGTTTTATGACATAATATTAGATCAAATCTTCCAAGTCAGTTTTGCTCATTTAGAAAAAATAACATGTCCAATCTTGGACTCTGGCTTAAAAGTTAATTGACATCTTATAGTCCCAATATTGTCATCTTTAAATATTTCTATGTTAACAAATACACCTACTTCATTTCACTATGTAAATTAATTCAAATAAAATGTAAATTGTGTTGTAATTGTGTGCCAAATTCCTATTTTCATACAGATAAGAACTGATGCAATTTCTTTCAAATAATGATTTATGCAGATTCTACATGAACTCTAAACAGATTCGAATATTATTAACCCCTTTACTATTTTAATGAAAAGTAAAATAAACCTGTCTGAAATCCATCCAAAAAAGACATGAAGGGGTGTACCAGATTTCTTAAAGTGATATATTATTTTCAGACATCTTCAGCGATATCCTGATATCACTGTTCTCCTTGTCAGCTGTGCAAAACAAGACACTGTCACTTATTTTAAGATTGTTTACTTCCTTTCAAAACACCAAACCTTCAAAATCAGAATCAGAAATTCTGACATGAATGGTGAAAACAAGATTCACTACTTGCAAGCACTCCACTGCCAGGGAGGATTTTATAGAAAAACCATTGAAATTGCCACCTTCCTTAAAGCCTACCTCTATATTTCCAAGTGTTCCCAGAGGCTTTGGAAGCAGAAGCCAATTGAGTTGTTTCATGGAGGCCTTAGTGGAACTGGAGGGGGGGTTTCCTGGTTTTATTTTTTCTTATTTTTTTCAAAGGTAAAAATATTTACCTAATAATCTATTGGGCTAGTCACTGTAAAAAGCATCTTACAGAATGATGACTCTTTGGTAGAGGTACAAATCTATGACGAGAAAAAAATACTTTCATTTTGTAATATGCAAGTTCTACTCATTAAAATGCATCAGGAAACTCAAGCTAGAGATGATTATAATAGTACAAATGGGATTCTGAGAGAATGCAGCAATATTGTAAAATTCTAACATCTTCCTTACCATCTCAATGACATGTAAGAAGCAAAATGTACAATGATAACCATGGGTGTGCTATGGCAAATTTCTAGCAGGTATGGTTAGGCGTGTGTGTGCGTGTGTGTGTGTGTGTGTGTGTGTGTGTAATATTTTCAACAGATACCACCAAAGATATATACTAAAGAATAATATTTTTCATCTTTTAGAGCTACATATAATTTAGACTACAAAAATAGAAATAACATGAAAACAAACCCCAGAAATTTATGAATGATATCAAAACAATTTTTGCCCAGTTAATTACAAGAGGATTTAAATAAATTCTTAAGTTATACACATAGTTACATAAGTAAATTGACTAACTTGGTAAATGACATTCAGAATGTAACAATCAAAAGTGAAAACAGAACTGGTGGCTTAAAAAAAAATCAGCGTATTAACTGAAAATGTGTATAACCAGTCAAAGAGTAACTCTAGCACCTCAGAGTTAAATTTGATAAAGACAGGCCTGCTACTGAAAATGATTAAAGCAAGAGAGAAAAACTCAGTACATACTAGACCTAAGATTACTCCTGTCTTCCACCCTCCAAAAACTGCCTTACAATCACCACCAACTCCACCAAGAAGTTTATCTTCATTCCTTCAATACAAAATAGTGTTAAATAAAATAAAAGCTATCTATCTGTTCTTCTTTTCATAGGTAAGTTAGAATTTATTTACCTGATGGTTTAAATCCCTTATAAATTCTATATGAAAATGCAAGTTCAAGAAACATCCAGTTGTCTAATTTTAGTCTTTTTCATTCTAGAGAGATGCTAATTACATGCGCTCACTGCTTTTTATTTTTCTTTTCTGAGATAATGGAATCATTACGCTTTTACTTATGTGAGCCCTGCTGTACCATAACATTGTCTATGACAGGGGAAGAGCCATGATCCAACCACAGAGATGTCACCTCGAGCAGCCCTGTGAATTGTGAGGTCTGAAGGAATAATGCCTCGTGTCTTCAAGTTCCCTTAACACGTCCCATTCTTCTCACAATCATGTGTGTTTGGTATTTCATTTTTTCCCTAAGTGTCATAGAATGCCTTTCTTTAAACTCTTCTTTATTTTTACATCCTTCTAATTTCTTCAGAAGTTCTGAGGACAACTGGTAAAGACTATCTGATGGAAAAAATCATGTCAGATATTCTCAATATTATTCGTAATTAGATACTACAAGTAAGAACAATTTGACCTCACACTGGATGTGAAAAGTTCAGGGAAGCTGCTGGAACAAAGTGGAGCATACCCACTGTGACTTTGTTCACGTTTTCATAATCCAAGTAGGGAGAGGAGAATAAGAACAGTGTGGAAGGCAAGTCAGCTGTGATGAAGTGGAAGAAGAGGCCTCAAGTGAACTCCCTGGCAATCTTAAGGAGCTGTCCAGGGTGGTACTTGTTATTTTGGCCTCAGTGCCATGTCAGAGTAAACTCCAGAAAGTGCTAATGGACAGGCTAATCGCAACGTTATGATCTAACTAACTTTGAGAATAATGATTCAAGTTTTGAGGGAGGCACTAAGATGACCAGTGGCTTCATCTGGAGAAACCTGCACTCAAAAATCTACTGCGAGAGGCAGAACACGGTAAACTCCTCAGGGCTGTCTTAGGGAACTTTCCGTGCCGTCCAGTGTGGCAGTAGCCACATGTGGCTACAGAGTGTTTGAAATGTGGCTAGTGTGACAAAAATAACCTGAAGTTTTACTTTTATTTAATTTCATTTGTTAATTTAAACAGGCATCTATGACTAGTGGCTACCATATTGGACTTTACAGTTCTGGGGTTAAAAACAAAACACACACACAACATGAGAAGCCTGAGGAAGATTATCTGTAGCCACATACCCCTAGTGGTCTGGAAAATGGTTCTATCAACTCCAACAGGGTCTTCACCTAATACAGACCACTCCCTCAATGATGTGTTCACTTCTCTTTCTCTCTCTCCCCCCACCCCACGTTTTCTACTCTCTCTTCCTCATACAATACTACAATGTGTCCACCAGGTCCAGCTCCACTCTCATAATCTATGACTCTTACACATGTGCACAAGTAATCACCAATATGTCTATATGTCTTCAATTTATTTCTTTTTTTTATGGCTACTATATTGTTTTCTGCTCTTTTCAGTGTTAACATTATTTTACACATATAACATTCATGTATGCTGTCTGGGAGTGTTTACCATTATTTCTTAGAATAATACTTGCTTTGATTTATTTAGAAATGTTTCAAGCGCTTGTTTCCAGAATTGCAACCACCTAATAAAACACGGGCTTCCATTAGAATCTCTTTTATTCAAACAAGTGTTTTCTTGCTTCACATATTATATGATTTATTATTTTCTCTTTATACTTCTCTATGATACTTGTTTCATATATTTGTGTGACTGGACAAATTAGATGAAAACTCTGTTCTGTTTTAATTTATAAATTCTGTAAGTGGGTCACCAATATTAATAATCCAACTATACATTATTTATCAATTGATAGGGACATAAAAAGCAATAAGAACTTATATACATTTATTTGTACTTATTTTTTGTTAGAAGCACTATCTTCTTCATTTTATTATCGGATATTTAGAGCACAGGTATATTCTGCAAAATAACTTCACATTTATTATTTTCTACTCTCACAGAATTATATTATCTCCAAATGAATAAGAAATAGAGAAAAAATAGGGAAGGGACAAGGGGAAAAGGAAGAGGTTCTGGAATTTCTCTAAAGAAAGCAAGACTCAACAGTTGTGTGGAGAAAATTCAGGACAGGGCTGGGGCACAGAGTGGTGAGTGTATCCTATGGAGTGAGTGCTTGTTTAAAAAGCTGTTAGAGAGCAGAGGTGCTGGGGAATGACATGGGTCTGAGCAAGTCCTCAGGAGTCCAAGAAGGCTCTAGGAAGGTGAGGTTGGCAGACAGCAGGAAATGTCAAGAAAGGGCCTTAAGAACACAGAGAAGACAGTATGATAGGGAGCTGTCTGGCCTCAAGAGTCATTTATGATACTACTTATAGCTACAAATCTGCATAATGTTTTAATTTATCCCTGAAATAATTTAAAGAAGAAAAAATTTTACCTGTGATGTCCTGAGTACCGTGGACCACGGATATGGCCTATCCCTCGGCACCCTGGAGTAGGACAAACAGCTTGACCTGGAAGGATTTTCACATCATTTGCTCCTTCAGGAAGTAAAAGAACATACCTTGAAAATACCCTTAGTAAAGAAGAACTAGAAAGACTAAAATATGTAAATGATATTCATTGAGATTTTACAAATTTAAAACAAACCATCACCAAAAAATACTTATTGGGTACTTATGATGTTTTATAAAATGATTTAGCAGAAAATATCATTGCTGTAATAGATAATACTAATAGCAACTAATATCAGAGGCAGAGCAAATTAAATAGGACTTGAAAAAAT